TATATATACTGTAGCCTCACAGAGCTAAGGTTACATAATGAGCTGTAATCAAAAGGAAAATGTGATATTCTTAACTTCTCACACAACTAATATTACCTTTTGCTGACATGAATGTTTCATCGTGATTACAGTATCTTCTTTATGCCACCTTGCCTCTGAATGTTTCTTCACCTTTCCCCTTTTTATTTTTTCAACAAATGGGTTAATGATTCTGTGTCAGAGAATGACCGCAGGCCTGTTTTATTTAGAGATCTTCAAAGCTGAATTAAGCCTTGTTGTGTTCAGTTTGCTAGGAGCACCAGCTGACCTTAAAGCTCCTGCTTCTGAATAGTTGTCTGCATCCTGTTGCGATGAGCATGCCTATCAACAAATGGAGCTGGAGGTGCCTCGGGCACTCTGTGTTAGCATTTATCCACATAAGCCCAAAATGACCGTGCAATTCAAACTAACTTCTTACTGGGAATAAAGTCATCTCATTGTAACTGCCCCCTGGCTAGAAGACTTGGCATTGCCGATTATTCTTGACAGCTTTAGTTTACGTGGTTTGCTATTTATGTCAACCAGGTTAAATTGGAAACATTTGAGAATTACATCATAGATTCTGCTAAATTGTTGAAATTGATAGGTGAATAATCAATATTTTCATATCTGGTCTGTCAGATTGGAATTGTGTGCCACCACGTGTGTCTGCACCACAGACACAGCATTAATTGAGTAGTATCAAGATCATCAAAAGTAATATTGTTAAGACTGTCATTTTTGTTTTTTAGTCATTGTCTGGTCATGTAGCCTGGATATGTGAAGGAAAACATGACTTGTGTTGTAGTCAGGTAACTGAGCTGCATGTTAGTTCTCGAATCAAAGAAGAACCGTTGATGTCATCATTTCTGCTGGAAGTCAACACCTTTAAGTTTAAGATAGCTGAGAGAAAAACAAGTGCTGCCTTTGACACACGTGTGGTACAGTTTGAAGTTCCCACACGCAAAGCAGAGTGAAAGGGTTGTGCTTAAAATTAGCATTTTCAAATGCTGCACATTTTTAAAGTGTTTTTATGGATTCTAAAGTTTTACTTACTTTATTCTCTTTCTCCCAGGTGAGGCCGTTCATTTAGCAAGAGACTTTGGTTATGTTTGCGAGACGGAGTTCCCTGCAAAAGCAATAGCTGAATACTTGGGCAGGCCACACGTGGAGCGCAACGAGGTTAACTCTCGCAAGAACATGCTCCTAGCTGCAAAGTAAGTATGACTAAATGTATTTATAAACTTTTACCACATAGTAAATGACCATTTTTAGTTTTAATCCTTTTTTATTACATTGTTTCTTCATTACAGCTTCCAGCTTCTTTAGTTACTTACAGTACTGCCCATACACTCGATGTTTGAAGTGCAATCTTTACTCATTCTGATTTTCTACCTTCAGGCAAATCTGCAAGGAGTTCACCGATCTGCTGACTCAGGACCGGTCGCCGTTGGGAAACGCGAGGCCTGCACCCATTTTGGAGCCTGGAATCCAGGGCTGCCTGACTCATTTCAGCCTCATCACGCACGGTTTTGGCTCGCCCGCCATCTGCGCCGCAATGACCTCGCTCCAGAACTACTTGAACGAGGCGCTCAAACAAGTGGACAAGATGTACCTGAGCTCTGGCAGTGACACCCAGGGATCCTCGGAGAGCGGGAGCAAGCCCGACAAAATGGAAAAGCACAGGAAATGAGAGCTCAGAGGGAGAAACCTTATGAATTTTAGAACCCCAGAATCCCCTAAATCCCGTTGCCCTCTCTGCCCTTTTTTTGAACTTTAAAACTGATATTTGGTATTGTCATTTTGAGAGATTACTTTGTTTGTGGGTATGTATGCGTGCTCGCACTGTATATTTTTTCTAAGAAGTTGTGGACTTGCCTGAGGTGGCTGCAAATCATTAAGTTTTGGCGCTCGATGGTAAATACTGTGGACTGGTCTTAACAGGAGACTGCTGTGTGAAACTTTAACTCACCGTATCATTCTATGCAGTTTTATAAAGTTGCCTACGAGCTGGCGCGACAACCTTAGACCATAAAACTTGTGCTTTGTGGAAAAGAAGAGGAAACAAAAAAAAGTGCATTCTCAGTTTTTTTTAAGAGGACATCAATTCAAGATGACTTGCTATGGCTGTAAATTCCTCTCAGCATTCCCTCTTCTCCTCTGTCTGGATGCAAAATCCACTGATTTCCTGTGTCTCAATGGACCTGCAAAGGAAATTTTTTTAAACGCGTGTTAAAGAAGAAAATCCGCTTTGTTTTCCCTTTTTTTTTGTGTGTTTTTGTACAACCACTCCTGAATGACTCCAGTGATTGTGCTTTGTTTATAGGAGATGATTTAAGATTTATGTTGGACGACTCACTCAGTACTCACCAGAGTTTTTAAAGTTGCTGCAAAAGAAGCCTCTTCAGTGTTCGTGTGGATTACAGGCATTGCTATGATTTTTTTTGTCACTCATCTCATAAACATGGCAGCGAGATTACCACGTTTTTTTTTTTTTTTTACAATCAAGGTATATGCCATTTGTAGTATTTAAAAATTCCATTGACCTGTCCACATGCTGAATCCTGATAAAGTGTATGTGTGTTGTGAGAATGTGTGTTTCATTGTACATACTGAGTTCTCTGAAAATGTCTTCAATTCAAAACTTCCAAACCTAGAATTTTTATCCAGTGTGTTTTCCTGGAATGTAAATATAGTTTTTTTTAATTTATGTTGTAATTTAATTGACTTGTGTAAATAATAGTATCATTCTGGTGTTCTGGTGTGAGGTTTAACTTCTTTTGAGGATGTGTGTTAAAACTTTTATACATAAAAAAGGAAAGATTAGTTTTTTTTCATCAAGTAGAAGTTAGGAAGTGGGCATGATTTTACTTTTTTTTTTGAGAATATGTTAAACCATGTTTTAAAATTCCAGGAAAAAATACAAATAAAAACGAGGGCCTCAAGGCTGATCTAGTGTGTGATGATGTTGGCCACAAAAACATCCCTTTTCTACCCCTGTAGCCATTTTTTAGCAGTATTTCTCAGAAAGTAGTTATGTGTTGGGAGATTGTTTCTAATATAAAAAAAAAAAAATAAAGCAGCAAAGGAAATTCCCCATACTAACCTAATGGGAACAGTGGTCACCCTTATTTGCTCTCACTTAGCTTCACAAACAGGCTGTGTTGCTCAGCGAAGGCGCAGGCCTCAAAAGTACATCATGTGATGAACAAAGATGTGTTGCAGAGAAGCAAGCAAATGGCTTGTTATGTTTGAACATATACAACAGTTGCTGAGTAGCATGCGCTGCATTATTTTGGATGTTTTATTTGTCTTTACTTCCTTGTTCCGGGGCAGGCGTGCTTCCTCAAAAACCTGGACTGGGATGAGTATTGAGATATTTAAAGTCATTTACGTCCGCTAAATCAAAGTTCCAAGGCAGTATTGCAAACAGACGCACCCTGATAATAAGAGAAAACTGATAGATAATAATGATGATGGGTTTGCATAAATTGCGACTGTAAGCACGTAAAATGTTTGTGTCAAGAAGATAGCTTGCGAAATTTATTTTATTTTTTTATTTGGCGTAATACTGAAGCAGCTCAAGGGTCTCTGGTGACGTTATGTGACATGTTCACCAAAAACAAAAATTAGCCAAAGATGAGTTTTTTAATACATTAAAAGCACACAAGTATTAACGTTTNTACATGCAGTCGTGCCTCGGGAAATTCATAACGCAGCGAATGCACTTTCCTTTTTCTTTTTTTTTTCTGTCACTGATGTGGTTTCAGCGCAATGTTTCTCAATCTCCGTGGGATAAAGATGAAGGAAAAAACTACAGGGACTTTGGATGTGGCGCAAGGTTGCTTAATCATCACTTGCCCAGCCAGTCCTTGTTGATTCATGCGGCCTTGCTTGTGTTTCAGAAGCTTATTTTTAAGCACAGTGACACCAAACTAGCACCGACAGAAACACATTTCTGAATTAAAACCAAAGATGATTAATATAACTAAAAGTGACAGTGTTATTCCAGCTATTCATATCATTTGACATACTGTTTTACATTAAATATGAGGAGGCTACTGATTCAGAGGCCTGAAGAAGAAAGCAGCGTTTCCCTAAAACCTTGCTACAGGGTTAGCGAGGCAGCGGCCGCGGTTGCAGCAGATACCTCGCAGTAAAACAAGTATCAGCCTCTCCCCTCAGAACCTGTCTAACCAGAACTGTCAACCTGAACCCGGTTGCTCTCAGCTCTGAGAGCGGTTGACTTTAACTGCCTTCAGTTATTTGTGTTATGTTGTATGCATAGGCCTGAAAGAGCCAATAATTGGAGGGGGGTGTAGGTGACGGTGGGAGAGCAGAGTAGGCACAAGCGAAGGTTGTTGGAGAGCGAAACAGGAGGATTGTTTGAGTGCCTTTGATGATCAGCGCGACACGTTTGAAGCAGCACTTGCCTGTGACAGAGGATTTGATTGAAGCTTCTTCATCCTTTTCCGTCGTCTTTCTTTATGAATGTTGTCACTCAGTCACGTCACGGAGCTTTTGATTTGGCCGACACACACACACATGCACGCATGCAATTCTTTTTTAAGCAGAGCTGACCTTTTTTGGAGGACGTTTGTGGAGTTAAAACTGGATAAAACAGATCAAAAGAACAATTTGAGACTCCATCACTTAACCCCCTTCAATCAAAAAAAAAAAAAAATCTAACAACTGCTTATATGTCACTCACTCTTGTTTGTTTTACACAACTTTTGCAACATGGTAACTGGTCAAAAGCTCCTCTCAGACTTGTGTAAGAGAAGGAGAAATTCACCTATGACACACCTTATGTAGCCGTGAAAAGGAGGCAAGCGTAGGCTTGTTGTTCCCCTTCTGTACCTCACACATCCTCTGCTTGTATGAAAAGAGAGGATATCAGAAACCTCTTTAATCAGAGATTAGAGATTATATTTGACATGCTAATGTAATCTTTACATCTCATTAGGATGCCTAGGGCTACTTGTCAACTTTAGATTCCCTGAACTGTAGTTGTAATTCAAGCTAGTTCTGACTACATGACCTTTTTTATGTAGGTCTCTGTAAGTCGCATGCTAAAAATAAGAGACAAGAATATGACGAAATGAATAATATTTTATGTCATTTTTAATCTCGCATGATAATCATTTTTATTGCTTTTATAATAATTTGTTGTTTTAATAAGCTGTGCCATGTTAACTAAAGGAAATGTGTACATATATGACTTTCTCTTGTTCACTTAAAAAAAAAAATTATAATAATTTAGCCAAAAATGTTCGCAGGCACTTAATGTTCACCCTTTTCCATCCAGTTAACCACTTCCCTTCAACAAACGTCTTTAAAATCTGTTGTCCATTAAGGCTCATTTGCAGTTCGACTAATCTCTTGCTTACAGTTCCCGACCACCAAAACCACTTTATGAGTTAAAGCGTAGTCCTAACATCCAGTGCCACAAACGACAAGTCAGTGAGACGATGGTAATAAATTCTCATGTGTAAATCACAAGTTCAGGCTCTTCCTGGTTTTTATAAAGACAATAAGGTGACGAGAATTTGAAAACCTGAAAAACGGATTTTTATTTGATTAAGTCTGGCATGTTTGCACCTTTTAAACATAAATTGATAAAGTGATTTTTGAACAATAAAACAAAAAATATGTGCATTTTTATGAAGATAAGCCATTAGAAATTTTAAAATTGACAGCATGTGATGCGAAAAAATTTATGTTTATAAAAAGTAAAACTAGTTAACATAGTTCGCATTGTATATTATTCAATTTTATCAAATGGAAACTCAAAAATCTAGTAATACTTATTGTTTTCTTTAGAAATAGTTTTTAATTATTAGCTACTGTGGAAAAAATTAAATAAATTTCTTTAAGAATCTAGATGAAACTAAAGAATACTTTGTTTTAATGTAGGTTAAAGTAAAACTTATTATAGTAACACACTTAAGCAGAAGTCCTAATATATTCTCTTAATTTTTGTATTCCAGAAATCTTTAAAATAATCTATTTATTCCTTTTTATAACACTTATTTAGTCAAATTCTTCATCATCTAAGGATGACTGCATTTTGTGACAAAAAGTTGAACAATCTTAGATCATCTTCAAGATAAAAAATGTTTAAATTTATAACTTGTTATAAATGGATGTACAATTACAGCTGTATAAACTGTAGGCTGTAAACATCCATACACACACACACAAATTCCACGTTTGCTTCTACCCTCAATATGGTTTACTGGCATTTAACACACACACACACACACACACACACACAC